ACCGCAGAATATAATGCAGAGGGGGATTTCTGTGCCATCGTGGGTTTGCTAAAACAACAGAGGGAAAAGCCAGTGCAGAAGCAGCTACTGTTCTGTGGGGGGAAGTGACAAGGGACCAGTGTTCCTTCTAAGCTGAGTTAGTGTGAACTGGCTCACAGTTTTTTAGCCTCCGGCTCACACATTTTTGTCTTAGCTCGGGAAGGACGGCTCGGGAAGAACATTCCCGCGGGGAAAACACAGGCGCTGCACTATCCGGTCGCCCAGACATGACGTGGGCATGTAGCCGGGCGACACTCTGGCAATGGGGCTGAAAACTCAATGGTACCATCGAGTTTCCAGCCCCATTGCCAGAGTGTCGCCCGGTTACGTGCCCAGCGTGCTTACGTCACGTCTGGGCGACAGGATGGTGTGACGCAGCCGTGTTACACGCAAGAATGTTCCGGCAGGGAAGCATGTGTCCCCCGCCGATTCGTAGGTAGGTACTTGGTGACCCTAGGCCACACTACTATAGGCCTAGGATCATGATAGATGGGAAGGAAGGATCCGAGTGAACATGAGAAACACAGAAACTTAAGAGCCAGTTACCTAGTGGGGAGGGGAGGAGGTTCTCCCTCTCAGGAGGTCTTCAGGCTCAGACTGGACAAGCCATTTGTTGGGGATACTCAAGCTTTGGATTCCCTGCATTTCAAAGGGGGTCAGACTAAGCCTCAAAAGCCCTTTCCTGTTCCATGACTCTTTTTTGTCTCAGAGTGGTGTAGTGGTCAGAGCATCCGATTAGAAACTGGGAGACCCTGCTTTGAATCTAGGGTTGCCAGACCCCCTGGTTTGGCAGGGGCTGCCCGATTTGGAAGGGCTCCTTCCCGCCCGCAAGCCAACTTGACTCTTCGGGGCTTGGAATGCAGGCGCCCCCGGGGTCTGGCCTTGAAATGCAATTCGGGCTTGGAATTCAGGGGCGTGTGGCCTCCCCCCGCCCTCTCCCCAGCAGCATTTAAAGGATGGCTTTAAACACTGCTGGGGAGAGACGGGGGCGCTGCTCCCCAATGTGATGATGATGTCACTTCTGTGTGACGTTATCATGTTAGGGACTCCCCACCCCCTCCAGTAATGCCCCCTAAAGTCCCCCGCTGGGAACTTTGAGGGGACCCGGCAACCCGATTTGAATCCCCAATCTGCCATGGAAGCTCACTGGGTGATCCTGGCCCGGTCACACACTCTCAGTCTATTCTACCTTACAGGGTTGTTGTGAGGATAAAGACAGAGGAAGGGAGAATGATGTAAGCTGCTTTGGGTCCCCTTTGGGAAGAAAGGTGGGGTATAAATGAAATGAAATACAATGGTGCGGGCTAGGGTCCCTACCAGGTCCCTACCTTTTGCCAGCGGGGGGATGAGGCTTCCCATCTGGGATCTAATGGCACACGTGTGTAGTGCGCGCGTCATGATGATGTCACGCAGAAGTGACGTCATCATGCCAGACACATAGCTGGGGGGGCACTCTAGCGTTCAGCCAGAAACTCTATGGTACCATATAGTTTTTTCGGCCGAGTGCTAGAGCGTCCCCCCCAGCAACGTGCCTGGTGCGATGATGTCACTTCCAGGTGACGTCATGGTGCCGGGCACATTGGCGCGATCCTGGGGCTTTGGGGGTGGGGTTCCCCCCGCCTGCTGGATCCGGGACGGTGGATTGGGAGCCCTAAAAGCAGGCAACCCCCTCCCCCCCCCCGGGGGAATGGCAATCCTAGTGCAAGCAATGGGAAGGCCCTCCAGGAGTGGGGAATCAAACCCGGTTCTCTCCCAGATTAGAGTCCGCGCTCTTAACCACTGCACCAAACTGGCTCTCAAATTGAAGAAATAAATAAATACATAAATAAACCCTTGTCTTTTATGTGCTTGATAACTTGTTTTATTTATAGTCAGAGCTGCCTTGATTGCCGCAAGGTAGAAAGGCGGCTAATAAATGCTTTAAACAAATAATAAATAAAGTCATATGGAGTGGCCTCCCATGCCGAAGGGGCCAGCTGGTGGGACACGAGAAGTAGGCCTGAGAGTCCGGATGATGGTGGTTGTGGGGAGAAGGAGTGAGCCTCCCTGCTAGTCGTTCTTGTAAAATATTGCTGCCCCTGGCCCCAGACCCTAGCTCCAAGCATCCGCTGTCCTCCCTCTGAAAACTAGGCAAGGGATGGGGTCAACCAGGGGTCATGTCACAGAAAAAGAGGTGCAGGAGCTCATTAGCATAACTCATCAGCATAACCTGTTTGCATATGCCACACCCCCTGACATCACCGGAAGTGTAAGAAACAAAAAAGAACACCACTAGCAAAAAATAACTCACAAGCAAATAAGCAAGTATATAATGATCAAATAAGCATAACAGCAAGTATAATGTAAATCAAATAAGCATAACAACAAGTATGATATAAATCAATTGGCCAAAGTGCAATAATAAATCATAATAGAAACAGTCACAGTCTTCTCCAGCATAGAAGCAATATCAGAGTCCAAATTGGAGTGCCAATCATCAAATTTTCTGAGCCATAAAAAGCCGACAGCCATGCTTGAATAAGAATAATTCGAAACGCGGCATCAGGCATCCGGATTACGCGTCGGCTTTTTATGGCTCAGAAAATTTGATGATTGGCACTCCAATTTGGACTCTGATGTATATCATACTTGTTGTTATGCTTATTTGATTTACATTATACTTGCTGTTATGCTTATTTGATCATTATATACTTGCTTATTTGCTTGTGAGTTATTTCTTGCTAGTGGTGTTCTTTTTTGTTTCTTGCATTGTACACTGGCTTCCCCTCCCCCCTTTTTTTGGATCACCGGAAGTGTGTCAGAAGGCAACACCCACTGCTCAGGCTCCACTGGACTGTTTTGGATTGCTAGCTATTGGAGGGGGGGACATGTGCAGATCTGTCCTCGCAGAAGAGGGAGAGCTTCTACCTGAAAAAAACTTGGTCTTAAAGGTCCCACTGGACTGTTTTTGGTCGGGGGGCCGGGGGGGGGAGCTCTGCAGCTTACCTGGCTGCTTCTTGCTCTGACTGAGGGCTGCTGGGAGCAGGGGGTGGGGCTTGTTGCATGTGCCCGCCCACTGGGCTCTTTACTGCTGGAGCTCTGCTCCTGCAGGAAATGACCCCTGGGGTCAACAGTCATTTAAAAGGCAGGGCAGAACTGCCTGGCCGCCAAGAGAAGGGAGCCGTCTGCCTCCGCAGAAGATGGGCTTACTTTTTGCTTCTTCTCCTCCTTCTGGGCTCGAATGACGGCTCTTTGCTGTTCCATCCATATCTCTTTGTATTTATGCTGGAGCAGGTCGAAGAAAGGGGTGGAGGGCCTGAGAAAGATTTAGAAGGGAAAGGTAAAAGAAAAGACGTGACTTTCGGGATCAGACCGAAGGGGGCTATCTAGTGTCGCCTTTCTTGCACTGCCCCAGCAGACGGACCCCTCCGGAAGCTCGCGGGCTGCCTCCTGTTCTCCTGCCCCTGCCCTGCCCCATAGCCTCTTGGAATCCCCTGACATGAAGCCTTTCTGGGCACAGAGAGACGGGAAAAGCTTCACATGCTTAATTTCTGCATGCATGCAGCCAGGCTCTTGCCGAGGGCACTGGAGCAGGGCTAGGAAAAGGGTAGCATAGGGTTGCCAGTTCAGGGTTTGGAAATTCCTGGAGATTTGGAGGTGGAGCTTGGGGAGGAGAGGGGCCTCAGCAACGGGGTATAAATGCCGTAGAGTCCACCCGCCAAAGCAGCCATTCTCTCCAAGGGAACTGATCTATATCATCTGGAGATCAGTTGTAATTCCAGGAGGTCTCCAGGGCGGCAACCCTAGCCCAGAGACAGGATACCTAGTGCCCTAAAAAATGCCCTGAAGATGTATAAAAGCACTGGTGAGCACTGGGCTGCCTAGGCATGAGATCATCAGGGGACATCCTTAACCAGCGGGGTATGCACATGAACTCAGGTTGCCAAGTATTATTTTCGCCGCAGTGGGGGAACTCCCGGCTGGCGGCTTGAAGTGACGCGACCACGCTGGGCACGCTGGGGGCGGGGCCACGACCATCCGAGGGAAAATCACAGAGTTGGAAGGGACCTCCAGGGTCATCTAGTCCAACCCCCTGCACAATGCAGGAAACACACAAGTACCTCCCCCCTCCACACCCCCAGTGACCCCTGCTCCACGCCCAGAAGACGACAAAAACCCTCCAGGATCTCCAGGCCAGCTTGCTTCCTGCCCCCAAAGTGGCAATCAGCATTTCCGTGGGTTGGCAAGAAAGGGCCACGAGAACTAAGCACTGAGGCAACCCTTCCTGCCCTCCCTCTCGTGACCTGCCTAAGTTCACAGTCAGATCTCAGATGTCCAGGGTCTCCCATCGAAGATTTAATCATAGCCGACCTTGCTTAGCGTCTGAGATCTGAGAAGATCCGGCCTGCCTGGGCCATCCAGGACAGGGCAAGTGAATTATACCCTTGACGAAACAACCGACGTGTCTGAGACGGATTTTCGGGAGGACTCATAGCTCATGCATAGAGCACATACCATTCATGCGGAGGGTCCCATGTCTAGTCCATGGCAAGTCCAAAATCAAAGTTTTCACATAGGCGTAATCTTCGTGGGGGCGGCGGGGCGTTAGCCTCCGCCGAAATTTTCAGGAAGGTGCTCAGCCTTCCCCGGGAGCCACCCTTGCTCCTAGCAAAGCAATGCCTCTGGCCCAGCCCCAGCCCCCCCCCCCCGGGAAAATGGCAA